AAAAAGCAGCTGCACTATTGCATTCACAGGAAGCTGCAGGAATTTAAGTTAGATTCAAAGGCTGTCTTGTTGATATCAGATGGATTTTGGCTGAAAGCAGAGAATAAGATGTTTACCTATGTTTTAATGACTCTGCAGAGTGGACTGTGTGGACCACAACAAATTATGGATAAAAGACTGGGAATTCAAGAACGCTTAACTGTACTCATACAAAACCTGTATATAAACCAAAAGGCAGTCATCTGAATATAACAAGGGAATACTGTATGACTTAAAGATCTGGGAAATCATGTGTCATGGTTCATCTTTTTCCCACATTTATTAAACCTGAATACTAAGCAAATAATCTGAGAACCTGGAATACATGGAGAATGATGTCATTGGAGGGAGACTCATTAACATTGAGCAGATACGGATGCTACAACCTTCCTTGCTGAAAGTAAAGAGGACTTGAAGCACTAGATGAAAATCTAAGATTTTAGTATGGATTATACTTCAAAATGGAAAAGAAAAACCTCACAACTGAGCCAGTTAGTAACATCAGGATATACAGAAAGAAGACTGAAAGTGATGTTACTTGGATCCACAACCAACACTCACAGAAGCAAAAGTCAAATGATGGGTACATTACATTGGTAAATTTACTGCAAAGGACCTCTTAAGATTTAAGTGTTAGAAAGCATAGATGTCACTTAGAGAACTAAAGTGTGCCTGACTCAACAAAAGTCACTGCATGTGAAAGATGGAAAATGAAAAAGCAAAATCTAAGAATTGATACCTTTTCATTACAGTGTTGGTGAAGATACTGAATATTCATGGATTGCCATGAGAATGAACAAACCTGTCAAGTACAGTGATAGTGTCCTATAGAAGTGAGGATGGACCAAGCCGGATTCCTAACAGGTATGCAAGGTTCAACGTAAGAAACAAAATCAACATAATTCATATTAACAAAGCAAGTAACAAGAACCGTATGATTTCAGTAATTGATGCAGAAAAGGCGTATGATAAAATCCAACACCCTTTCCTGATTATAACACTCAGCAAAACTGAAATAGAAGGGAATTTCCTCAACATAGTGAAAAGTATATATGCAAAACCAAGAGCCAGTATCATTCTCAATGAAGAAAGACCAAAAGCATTTTCCTTGCAGAGACCAGACAAGGATGCCCACTGTCACTACTTCTACTCAATATTGTATTGAAAGTGCTTGCTATGGTACTAAGAGAAGGAAATAAAGCATCCAGATTGTTAGAGATGGTCAAAATGTCACTATATGCAAATTACATGATAGTGTACACAGAAAACCCCAAGGACTTGACAAAAAAACTATTAGAAATAGTTTGGACTAGTTTCGTAAGGTAGCAGGATAAAAGATCAATATCCCAAAATCAGTGGGATTCCACTACAATAACAAAGAAAACAGAGAGAAGGAAACTAAGAAAGCAGTATCATTTTTAATAGTCAACCACAAAGTGAGAAACTTGGGAATGAACATAACTAGAGACTTAAAAGACCTGTACAAAGAAAACTACAGAACATTTCTTCAAGACACAATACAAGACCTAAATAAGTGGAAAAAGGTGCCCTGTTCATGGACAGAAAGACTCAATATTATGAAGATGACAACAAAGACAATCCACATATTCAACTCAATCCCAATCTAGATAACCAAATTCATGTTTCAAGATTAAAAGGGGAATTGTCAAGTGTATTTGGAGAGGAAAGGGACCCCAAATAAGCAAAGCACTACAGAAAAACAAACAGGAAGTGGGAGGCATAACACAAAACAAACAGGAAGTGGGAGGCATAACACTTCCTGACTTCAAAAGCTGTTTCAGAGTTGTAGTAACCAAAATAGCATGGTACTGGTACAATGACAGGCACACAGACCAATGGAATACAACAGAGAACCCATAAATGGACCCATGTATCTATGGTCAACTGACACTCGGCAAGAAAATAAAACCCATCAAATGGGGAAATGACAGTATCTTCAACAATTGGACCTGAAGAAAGCTGAAACAGGAGCCACATCTCACACTATACACAAAAATCAACTCAAGGAGGACCAGAGACCTGGGAATAAAGCCCAATACCCAAAAGGCCAAAGTTCATAAGAGACAAATTGCAAACAAGCTTAGATGGCTTAACCTATAGTATAGAGAGACTGACAAATACAGCCAGAAATGCACAATCTTGAGAGGATAAAATTGACAAATGGGACTTCCTAAAGATTAAATCTCTGTGCTCTTGAAAAACTTTTTCCAACAGGATGAAAAGATATCCTACTGATGGGGAACAAACATTTGGCCATAGCATCTCAGACAAGAGTCTCATAACAAAAGTTTACAGAATACTCCTGGGCCTCCAGAAGAAACAGATTGACAGCCCAATTACAAAATGGGCAAAAGATATGGACTTTTCACAAAGGAGACATTCAGGTGGCCAACAGACATAAAAAAAAATGCTCAAAACCACTGGCAATAAGAGATGCAAATAAAACCACAATGAAATACTATCTAACTCCAGTGGAAGTGACATAGTAGGGCAGCAAGCAATAAATGTTGGAGAGGATGCACTACTAGGAACATATCCCAAGGAAATTAGAACTGAGAGACAGAGATTTGTATACCAATGTTCACAGCAGGGTTATTCACCATTGCAAGAACATGGAAACAGCCCAAATGTCCCACCACGACTAATTGGATTGAGAAACTGTGGTAGATTCACACAATGAACTCAGAAGAAACCATCTGAAAAATAGGACATAACTTGGGAGAGGCTGGAGAGCATTATGCTGACTGAACTAACACAGTCTCATAAGGACAAATACTGCATAAGACCACTATTATAAAAATAGGATAACTATTAAACATGTAAGGGAACTCAAGAGGGGATGGAGAGGTGGGAGGGGTGAGGCTAGGTATGGGCAAAACCACCGGGCTACAGTTTGGTGGGTGGAGGGAGAGGGGCAAGGAAAGGGGAAGAATCTGGGTGAAAAGACAGGGTAATGCTGGGCAAGGTCCAATAGTGATTGATTTTGTACCAATTTAAAAAAAAGTGAGGATGGCAAGACTCTGTCCCATAGTTTGGCTCTGATATTAGGAAGAATCAGTCCCTGGAGAAGGAAATCATGCTTGGTAGAGGATCAGGAGGGGGAAAGGAAGATTATCAATAAGATGAAGTGACAGAAGGGCAACAACAGACTCTAATACAATGATCAATGCAAGGATGATGCTGGACTGGGCAATTTTTTTTTTGTTTTATATAAAGAAGTTATAAGTCTGAACTAACTCAACTGCACCTAATAATTAAGCATCATTTCTCTTATCACAATTCATGCCGGTTTATGGTTTTTAAACGTTACAAGTTCATTAGTGCACTAAGTTTAATGTTTTCTTGCTAAAAAAGGAAAAGAATTCAACTGTATATAGTCATATACATATAAATCATTGAACTTGTTCATTATTAAATAGCTATACACAGAATGTACATACGCATTTTAGGTAAGATGGTTACAAATCTCTTACATGCTCAAGAGTAGACAAAACCCCGGCACACACATACACGGAAAGTATAAAAATACTTTTAAATGCCCTTCATTGCTTCACAAATGAATTATTAGAAATTATGATTTTTCGATCTGCTCCTAGATTAATTTACCTCTAATGGGGTGGTGTAAGAGAAGAGTTGGCTAAAATCCCCTAGAGAAAAACTCTACAAAGCAACTAAAACAGGTTTTTCTATAGGAGTGTACATTTTCTTAAGTATCTATTTTAAGTGATAAGAAACTGACTTCAGGAAAAATGGATTTATAGATAAACTGGCTGATTTCTCTTCAAAATGGCTTCTACAATATGAAGGATTGTTTTTTCAAAGCTACCAAATGCCTTTTTTGTGCAGTATCTTATTTTACCCTCACAACTAACCTTTGACATAAGAACTAAAAAGGCCTGGGCCTTTGAACCATCAATATAGACATATCATCAATATAGACATAAAAATCAAAGCAGTCTAAATAAAGTAAGATTGAAAACCATTCACAGTTTTATACCATTTTCCAACTCCCACTTATCTTACATTCAGCTATCCAAGGATAAAGAAAACAGAAATCTAGAAAAGAAGATGACAAGATCTGGAAAATTGACCCGTTTTTAATTATTTAAAAACAAAACATCACATTTTTTTTTTACCCTCTACAATTCAGATGTAGCAAACATTCTAAGACCAAACAGATGGCGCCCTGCTCAGCAGCAGGGAGCAGAAACAAGACGCTGAAGACACACCAAGGTGAATGCTGCAAGTCTTCCGTGAAAACACACTCCAAGGCTTTCGTTCACAGTTAAGGTGTTTTACAGGAAGTTCTTGAAATTCATTTCATCCCA